GGCATGGGGTTGGGAATGGGCATGCCCCCAGCTCCCCCCGCGCCCCCTGCCCCCCCGCCGCTCGCCGGCTTTGGTGGCGCGCCCGGCGCGGCCGCAACGGCGCAAGGCATGGCGGGCTATGGCATGGGCCTGCAGGGGCTGGGGGCGCAGGGCGCGGCTGCGCAGGGCGGCGCCGGCGGCGCAGGGGCAGGCGGGATGACTGGGTTTCTGGTGATGCTTCCGAATGGCCAGGTGGGTGCGGGGCGCAGGGCGCCGTGGCGCGCGATTGGAGCCGAGGGCGTGCGCCCAGCCGCTTTTGGGTTGAGAGGGTTTTTTTCTTTGGCCCGTCTAACCCGTCTGAAGCCAAGCCAACGAGGCTGTTGAGCTCCGCAGGCGGGCATGCTGAGCCTGCTGCCCCTTGCACAGGCCACGCCCTGCTGCTGGCCCCCGAAGCCACCCTTCGGGCCATCCCCGTGCGCTCTGTCGTCCTGCGCTGACGTGGACGGGCGCTGATGTGGACAACCGCCACTCGCAGATTGGCATGATGATGGGCAACCCCGCCACAATGCCCGGGATGCAAATGGCGGCGGGCGGCGGCGTGGCCATCGGCGGTGCGGGGGGGCCCGTGCGGCACGGCCAGCAGCAGCAGCAGTTGGTGCAGCTGCAGCAACAGCAGCAGTTGCTGCAGCAGCAGCAGCAGTTGGCGCAGCAGCAGCAGCAGCAGCAGTGGCAGCAGGGAGGCGCGGTTGTGATGGGTGGCGGAGCCGGCGTCCCCGGAGTGTACGGGGCCGGCGGCTATGGCGGCGCCGCCCAGGCGGCTGGAGGGTTTGGCGGCCTGCAGGCAGGCGGTGTCGTCGCAGGCGGCTATGGCGGTGGCGTCGTCGCACAGGGCGGCGCCGCGGGCTATGGCGGCGGTGGCGGCGGCGGCGCGGTCGTGTATGGCGGCGCTGTGCAAGGCGGCGGGGGCGGCGGCGGCGGCGGCGGGGGCGGCGGCGGCGGTGGCGGTGGAGGCGGCTCGAAAGGCGGCCGGAGGCGCGGGAACCGCGGAGGCCAGCGCTACGCCCCGTACTGACGCCTGCAGCTCGACTGCGCGTGTGGGGCGACAAGACCACCACCATTGCACTGCTCTCCGTCGGCCTTCCACCCCCTACCTCTTCCACAAATGGTCCCTCTGGTCTAAACGCAACCCACTTTAATTCTCATTACAATCTTGGGGGCTTGCAGCACGCTCTGGGTCCGCTGAGGCTGGTATGCCTCGAGCCGCGAGGCGGGGCGCCCGCGCCAACGCCAGCCGCGGCCACCGCAGCTGTGGCTGTGACGTGTGCCTTGGATGACGGGGGAAAGCCACCCTGGCGGCGCAGAAAGAAAACCATCAAACTGTTCCAGGACATGAACTGTTACATGAGGGTGGCCGCTCTGGGTGCGCGAGGTCGTGACGACTTGTCTTGGCCACAACTGCCCAACTCCTTGGCAACGCACAGCAGATCCCTGCATAGGACTGACCGCAGGGCCGGACTTCTGCGAGCGCATGGGCAACTTGTGTTGTCTCCGCCCTGGCCCCAACAATGGCAGCGCATCGCCTAGGCGTTCGCGCGCGCCGCACACCGCAAACAGCTGCTCGCCGCTGGGGCCGGCCTGGCTGCGCCTCGCGCCACGCGTGTTGAGTTTTGCGTCCGGCCCTTGCTGTCAGCGCGGCGGCTGCTGCCCTGGCCCCGGGTAGGGGTACGGCGGCTGCAGCGGCTGCTGCTGCCCCGGGTAGCCGCCGTACTGCTGCTGCTGCTGGTGATAAGTGAACGGGTTGGGCGCCGCCGGGGGAGCCCCGTAATTTGCAAACTGCTGCGGCAGCGGCGGCGGCGCGCCGGGCGCGGCGCCGCCGGCGTATGCGCCGTGGTACGGCTGCTGCACCTGCGGCGGTGCAGTCACGGGGGAAATGAGCAGCTGTCACCATGCTCAGATGAGAGGGGGGGCCGAGGGCTGGGCTGGATAAGATGACCCCAAGCGTATGGCTGTAAGCAAATGTACAAGGAGGGTGCCCCAAGTTCCAGAGAGCCCGCTCGGACAAACACTCAGCAATGTTGCTTAGCAAACGGCCGCGATCACGAGCAGCCGGGCCAGCGCCGCGCGGCGGTGCAGGCGCCGGCGTTGTGCGGCCGCACCACGAGGCGCATGCAATGGGATTCGTTGCACCTGGGGCGGCGGGGGTGCGCCGGCGCCGTAGTATGCCTGGGGCGGGTACGCCGGCTGCTGCGGCTGCTGCTGCGGGAAGCCGGGCTGCATGGTTGGTCGTGTGGGTGGCGGGACGTTTTGGGTGGTGGTGGAGGGGGGCCGTTGTTAACCTCTGTGCGGTGTCGGGTGCGTGGCGAGGCGAATGCTGTTGTGTTGTGTGATGTGTGTCGCTAAAACGTCCCACCACTCCAAGCCGCACAGCATGCTGGGAATGCGAACAGCAGCCGCAGCACAGCTGAAGCCAGCCGCCGTGCCTCCTGAAATCCCGAGCGCGCCCGCAAACACCACCGCAGGAGAGCCCCACAGCGGTCAAGCAGCTCGGTCACAGGCGACACTCCCTGCTGTAACGCTCAAATCACTCGGTTTTTGGCTTGTTGCTGACGAGCAAGTGCGCACCCTCCACTCA